GCACCGGAGTTTAGCCTTTTTTCATTCAGTGTCATCAACAGAAAGAAAAAACGTTAAGAACGTTATCGTTTATCGCAACAGGCCTATCCACCATCTTATGACTACTTTGAGATGAAACAGGATATGCACTCCCATTCAGTGCTTAACTTGTCCATCCTACACTTGGCATGGAGCGATATGGAGGAAAAAACACGTGTCAGCTAAATAAGCTTGTTTTGTTTGACACTGCTGTACTTTAACTGGCACTGAAGCAGAAAGAAAAAACGACTTATAAACTGTAATCCCTTTTTATTTGGATTTTATTTGTACAAATACCCCTGAGCAGTAATCTGTCACACTTTATTTTTAGATTTACTGTGACGTAGAAACAACACTGTGTGGCTGAGGGCAGTTAGGAAATTTAAGTTATTTATAGCTAATGTTTGTTTTTAGTTTCTATAAAAAGAGTAAAGTTCATCATGCAGATTGGTAATGGCTATTGGTAATGTTTTAGGGTTGCATTAGGATGATTTAATGTTATTTTTTGTGTATTTGCATTACTCATAAATAAGTTCAAGTAGTTTCTGCAGAACCTTTATTGTCCGATTATAAGATTATTATCATTAGTAGCCATCCCACCTCTAAGATCCTCCACAGAAATACTGAACCACATGAACCACAGCAAGACAAAAAAAGTTAATGGGGGAAAAAACATTATGCTTTCTAAAGTTTGTCATGTTTGAAAATATTTCTTGCTGATTTCATGTACAACTCTTGTCCGAGGAATGTGTCCTTTCGTGCAGAGGATGCAGTTGCTCATGTCCTAATAAACTGTCCAGGTGCTACACTTGCGTGATTCAGAGTTTCTCTCTGTATATTCTTCACAATTAGGTTATTAATTAGCGTCAACATAATCAAGTTTGTCATTTGTAAATCGATTCAGAATCGTCCATTTCTTCACCTCAATGCATTCAAAATTAGATTTTATCCCTCGGCCCTAAATCATGTTAGCTCATTTTACTGCCACCACTTATATCCTCTAGATCTGTCAGTTCCTTGCATATAAAATCATTCACATATGCCTCAAAGATCTGCATGGCTCAGACTACATTCAAACTGTTCCTTCTGTAATTTGATTGGTTTCTGTGAGTTTTTGTGCTTGTTACATCTGCTGAAAAATATTCAGCCCATTTGTTCTTGTGCTAGGTCTTACAAATCTGCAGTGTTCTCTCTGTGTGTGCATAATAAGAGTTAAGACATGTATAAAAAAGCGTCTGCATAGAAGCATCACATGCCTTTAAGGCCGTGTTATTTGTATTTCAGGATGTGAGATAGCTAAAAGGCAACATAGGAACAGGTATAGCAGCAGAACTAAACAACAGTTTACCTTGTGCAGCAGCCGGATCTCGATAAGTTTCTACACTGCAATCAAGCTGCAAGCCATGACGCCTGGCAGGGATTACCAAGGGATTACAATATATTCACCCCAATGGGATTCCATCACATGGTGGATCAGAGTCCTGTGACAGGGGACCATTGAAGAGCTCTCCCTAAGAGCCACAAACGTTTCTGTGACGGATTTGACAAAGAGCTCAGTGCTGTCTGAGAGCTCAACACAAACTGCTGTCTGGCTACAATATAAACCACTCACTGCAAGCTTTTAATGTAAATACAAGCTTTGGTCCCGTCCTTCCTAGGACGGGACCAAGGAAGACCCATTTGGGGTTGCTCAAAAAATATAAATCCTAATTTTAAAACTCATAAGAAAAGCAGAAAAGTGACTCCAAAAATCCGCCATAACACAAAACATCTCATTAATCAGGATAGTGAACAGCATGCATTAGAACCTTTATGTGATTAAGCCTGGAACTGCTGACGAAACTAAGTAACAGCATCAAAAGTACTGTCACGAGAGAAATATTCTAAATCCCCTTGTTCTCCATTTGTTGCATTAAACACTGGACACCATCTGTTGGGTTGGCAGGCTGAATGCAGCAACAGCAGGGTGGCAGCTGCCGGCCTGAGACGCCACAGCCCGGCCAAAGCTCCCTCTTGTATGTGGTTGCAGTCTAAAAGTATCACTCTGGGCCTCGTTAATGGACATTTCAGACTAGAACAAGGATCAGAACAAAGACAAAATGTTGTTTAGCCTCTTAAAGTGAAGAAAACTTTTTAAGAAAACTTTATATATATATATATATACCTCTCAAAAAAATAAAGGGAACACTCAAATAACACATCCTAGATCTGAATGAATGAAATATTCTCATTGAATACTTTGTTCTGTACAAAGTTGAATGTGCTGACAACAAAATCACACAAAAATCATCAATGGAAATCAAATTTATTAACCAATGGAGGCCTGGATTTGGAGCCACACACAAAATTAAAGTGAAATGTTCCCTTTATTTTTTTGAGCAGTATATATTTTAAATGATCTAATCTATCAACCCTCTTTTGATCCCCTCTCTCTACTCCAACCCGTTCTACAGGCAGTAGGTGACTGAGATGGGCCTTCGTCTGGGCAGTTGGAGTGACTCCCTGTGGTGGCCGCCACCGCTGCCGCTGTTGCTGCTGCTGTTCTGCACAACCCCCTCCTGTTTGGGCCGGCCCTTCGGGTTCCCCGTGCCCTCTGTGAATGTAGCGGTGGTGTTCAGCGGCCCGGCCTACCAGACGGAGATAAAGGGGCGCTTGAGCCGGGAAAACTTCATGGACCTGCCGCTGGAGGTGAACCCCATCACTGTGCTGGTCAACAACACTAACCCACGCGCTCTGCTCACCCGGATCTGCGACACCCTGTCAACTAACCGGGTCCACGGCGTGGTGTTTGAGGACAATGTTGGCTCTGAGGCTGTGGCACAGATTCTGGACTTCATCTCCACACAGACAGCCGTGCCCATTGTGGGTATCAGCGGCGGCTCTGCAGTGGTCCTGCCATACAAGGTCAGTCAGGGTCAAAGTTAAGAAAGGGACGGGACCAAGGAAGACCCATTTGGGGTTGCATGCAATGTGCTGAGTTGCTGTTTTAAAATGTCTCCTCACTTTTGAGGTTTCTGTTGTTTTCTAGGCACTTTTTCTTGGCATGTCTCCCTCCATAGCTAAAAGCGGCAATTAGCGAAATGCTTCAACAGCGTGGATGTTAGCGTTAGTTCTAAGGGTTGGCCAATAAGTTGATTTAATCTGTTAATTAACTTTTGGTTTTTGAAGATTAATTGTTAAAAAATCTGAACTTCCTTTGGCCAATGGGTTGACTGACAAGAGCACGCCCAAGGCCTACCATCTTGTTTACAGCTTCTATTTATTTGGACTTTGAATTCAGCTCAACTCAATAATAGAGTATTAGGGGCAAACTAAGTTTTTTTCTTTAATTATGATAATAATGTTCTATTATTACCAGCATAAAGCTATAATATTAGGAGAACACTTATGTGAAAAACAGCAAAACATTTTTAATAGTATCTTTTATATAATCCCTAATACTTAAAAAAAAAAACTTATTCTTAACACATCAGCATCAAATTATTATCAGTAGCAGGACTTTGAAATGGCCCCACTGCCAGTTATTTTTCATAACAACTGTGTATGTTTAGAAGAAACTACACAGACTGAGCTGGTTAAGTCAGATCTTCATGACTGTCTACGATTCTCATTAAAATGACTTTTCTCTTCAAGATATGTTTTCTGGTAAATTCACATCTTTCTGCTAATATCACTATATTCTTATATATATATATATATATAACAAATTACTCTATAAACTGTAAATTGCTTTGTGTTTTGGTTCAACAGAACCGTTTTACTTATGGGCACATTCCAGTTTGAACCTGATGTTCAGGTTCTGTCTGTTGTAATATATTAGTCAATCACTCCAAGCAGTCTAACGCCTACTGTACTGTAATTACACTCCCAAAAGCAGCAAGGAAACCGTTTCCCTGAAAGCTAATGATGTATGTCATCAAACATCATTATTTCCATATGGACAGTGAATGTGTTGAAATAAATGACATTAGACTCTATTGTTTTTATAATGAATCTTTAAACAATCTCCGTCTGCAGATAAATGCATTAATAGAAATCAGGAAATGGAACCAGAAACAGAAATCTCTCGTATTTAATCTAACCTTTGACTTTACGATCAATGTGGTGTTTGAAATCAGCTCAGCTCCGTATGTTGTGAGAAGGGAGTCGTGGTAGAGGGCTCAAGAGATGCCTGTGACACATCTGAGTGTTTAAACTTTGTTTGGTTTGAAACTGGGAGGTTTAGCAGCAGTGATCCATCAAGGAGGCACAAATACTCTCCACAAAGGGATCAGCCACAGGGACAGACAGTAATCCTTTCAAAATGGCTTTCTCCTGGTTGTCTACTACAGATGTGTACAGAGGACAGGCTGGCAGAGGAATGTGATGCCAAGGGAAATGCTTGTTCAAACTGATGATCTTAAAAGATTTAGGGAACAGTGGATGTCAGGGTGTAGAATAGGACACGGCTGGGGGAAATATCAATTTTGAGAGTGAACATAATCAACATTTATGCAATGTAAGATATGCATACATCACTATGATTGATCTAAACCTCCAAGGAAATCTTTAGACTACTTTGTATAACTGGCTGGACATTTAGTCACCCCTAAGCTTTCCAGTACGCTTAAAACCTTTTGAATAAGGGAGTTTACAAGAGTTACACTGGAGGAAAGAGATGTTAGCTTTTTTTGATCCATTTTCATCTGCAGTTTGTCTGATAATCTTGACAAAAGAAGTCAGGAGACTCAGGAGATGGCTGGGGGCAGCACGACTGAAACTTGGCTTTAAGCAGAGAAGCTAAGCTGATAAAAATGGAGCAGAGTTGGTCTTCAGCTTTATAAAGAACTTTTAAAAGACAACCGGGCCAAATGATGAACTTGTTTATTCTGTCCATAAAAAGGAATCCAGCTTCTCTGTAAAGCAGCTTTTATTCTGATCTTTGTGCAGCCGTCTGCTAGGCTGTGTCTGACCTTATAGCTTATTTTGGTTTAAATGTTGATTGTTTATCTAATTTCCAGCAACACCGAGCTACATCTACTTTTAACCAACAACATCTGTCTGTAAGCGGTTCTGGCTCTAATGTAATGCCAAGTCAGGTTAAAGGCCTTCACTTCTGTTTAGCTGCTTTTTGCCATTTAGTGGTTGATCATTTGTGCTCTGGTAATCAGTCATCAGACCCACTTCCTGTGGCCAGATTATTGATCTCAAAGTTTCAGGTATTGGTTGTTTTTCTGAATATCTGTCAGACCAATCTAATGTTTATAAGAAAGGAGCCAAACTGGGTGGTAAAAATAATTTCTACTTTGTTTTAATCCTGCTGTATTTTTTCAGTACTCCATCTGGGATTTGTCCCAGTGAGCTCAATTTCTCAGGATGCATTTCATCCTGGCCAATCAGTGAACAGAAGTTGTGAACAATGACTTTGAATTTCTGAGTTGTTTTTAAATTGCAACCTATATATGGTTGTAGTTTGGCAATGGCAACAGAGGAAGTAAAGGATGGCATTCACAATTCCAAATACTGAGCGATTGGGGTGAAAAAAGAGGAATGTTTAGGTTTCGCGTTTTATATACGTCAAAGAAAAACGCAAGCAGCTGGCTAAACACAGATCCAATCCTTGAGTAATCAATAGTGTCTCTATGTCTGAGGGTCCAGACCCTCTGTATGAAGCAAAGCGTAAAACAAGTGACTGGTTTTTACCAGGTTAATTTGTCACAGTACCATTGTATTTTTTTATGATTATTTAACCAGGTGGGAAAACTTTATTGACTTTATTAAGGAATTAAAATTCTCCAAAAATTCTAATTTTCAGCACCCATGGTTTTGTGGTAATAAATTTAAAAGGATGTCGTCCTAACCCTAAAAATGTATTTTATTAAATATTGCATGTTTAATTTCTTTACTTATTTCAATTAATTGTTTTCTTGCTTGACATGTCTGTGTTTTAAAGATGTAAAGCAATATGTACGGCGTTGTTGCTGAAATCTGCTGTACAAAAACTTGATTGATAAATCTTAACATTAAAAAGTAATAGGAAATTTAGTCCACTTGTTAACTAAATATGAAATTCGTAGATAATCTAAAATTCAGAGATAGTATTTGGTTCTTTTGTATCTTTAGTATCTCATTATTTTAATCACCCGATTTTAGATAAAATGGACTAAAAATTCATGTTTATTTCCAAACTGAATGCATTTAAACAGCCTGGATACAGACAGCTCAGCCCTGAGGGGGATTTTTCCTCCAGAAACTCAGTGAGAGTTGTAATCCACACCCATTTGAACCAAATCCTTTTTTTTTAGTTTCTGTTTTTCTCCCCATAATCTGCCCTTCACAGCATATGCCACAAAGAGAGAGAGAGACAGAGAGAAGAGTCCTGTAAAGAGCAATGAGATGATTTTGCAGTTAATCTGCATTAACAGGGTTTGCCAACAGGAGGTGAGTTTCCTCAAGTCAAAAACGAACCTTCAGCAGTCTGGATGAAAGGGTAAGGTGGAAGCACTCTCCTCTCCGTGAACATTTATCAGTGAAAAACATACAAGTTTATTTCATTTTTAGTCAAAAAAGTTTACATTTCAGTTCATCATCATCAAATAATTTCAAACCCTCACTTCCTGTAGTGTTGGTGTTTACCCTTCACTTGTTTAATTAGAAGCAAGTAAACACCAGTAAGATCTTTATGATTTCCATAATTCACATGTTTTCAGACATCTCCCTCATCAGCTTCAGCCATTTTAGCAGAGCTGCTGTGTGATGTAGCCATAAGCATGCTCCTCCAAGGTAATGAAAGAGGTTTTACTCATCAGTTAATGTCTCCTGCTGCTCATTTACACTGAAGCAATTCTAACTCAAATGCAGGAAGAGCAAATCAATCATAATCACTTGCAGAATAAACACGTGTAATAAGAAATAAGATGGTAGGTGTTGAAATAAATCACTGCTCTTTACTGGTAATTAGACAGTAAAAGAATTTGAAGCTGTTAATATATGCCGTCTAGTGAAGGCATTAAAGCTGCCTGTCAGGAAAGTATTGAACGTGTTATTAATGTGGAGCGTCCCTGTTGGAAAGCGAACGTAATCTCCTCACCCCCGCTGCGGCACCAGCTTCCAGACCGACATGCCTCACCAGATCCATTCCTAATTTCGTGAGGCCCTGGGTAATCATTCACTATATATTCACTACATCTACACAACAGGCAGCAAGGATCAGGTTATTATCACTGACCTTTAACAACACAGAGAGATGACTGTTTTACTGAGTTACAATTAGTACCAGTTACCAAATCAAAAACTGTGAGTTCAACAATAAAATTAATAAAATACTAAATAAAGGCAAGTTAACAATTTCAATTCCACTAATCAAAACATCCTACATATGGATACTGAAAGAAATCCTGGTGTTCATGATAACCAAGTCAAGATTTAGTCCAGTTCTGGTGAATTCAGTTGATTGGACTTGATTTGGATAGCACCTACCTGCCTATATTAGGTCCCACAGTTGACAATGCAGGTCAGAGGTCAAACACCGAGAATGAAATCAAAGGAATCGTCTGTAGATTTCAAAGACAAGATTGTCTCAAGGTACAAATCTGGAGAAAGATCCAGATGGACCAAACCAGAGACTTGAATCTGATTGAACAACTCTGGAGAGATCTGAAAATGACGGACGGACATGTTCATCCAATCTGATGGAGTTTGAGAAGAACGGGCCAAACTGCTTAAAGATTAGTGAGCTGAGCTAATGGCATCAGATTCAACGAGACCTGAGGCTGAAACCGCTGCCAAAGGTGGATCAACGAAGTGACAAGCAAAGGTTGTGAATACTGACATAAATGAGAAATTGTCATAACAAGGTATTTCTGTAAAGAAGTTTGCCAAAGGAGAGTCATTTAATACATTATGAAATAAAGTTGTAACATAAAATGTGGAAAAAGTGAGGTGGTTGAATACTTTCTGGGTGAACTGTAGGTTCAACAGCTGTTCAGTGTTAAACAGATTTTAACTACAACATAAAGCACAAGTGTTCAATATTACTGTAAATATCCTACAATTACAGTTTTAAGTTTTAAGTGCAAATCATCAATATGTGAATGTAAAAAAACATCAGTGTGAAGATAATTATTGTTATATTGGTGTGCTTAGCTTGATATCAACTCCACTGCACATTTCAGAGAAAAATAAAATTGCCCTCTTTATCTTACCATATTCATCTGACAGCTTTTATCTTCATATCACAGTTGATTTATGTGACGCTGTCAGAAGCAGTTAAACCAATGGAGCTCACTCACTTTTAAATGGATCACTAGAAGTAAATTCTGATCTTGGAAAGTGACGGGTGGATGTTACAGGCTGATCAGATTCCTTTTCTTAAGCCATTTTACTTTGTTCTATTACATTAGGTTATAGGCTGTTGGTCTTGGAGGTTAAAACAACCAGACGGCTACACGTCAATTTAAGGTGGAAGAGAAAGCTTTGATTTTGCCAGTAGGGTTTTCATAAAATGGCAGGGCTAATGTGATTGGGAAACACAGACATTTGGTGTGCTTCAAATGTAATTTAGCAATCAAAAGCACAGGTATATATATGGAAAATTTTCCTCCAATCATTAAAAATTAGCTTGATATTGTGAGTTGAACTTCAAAGCATTCTTTAAGGGATCCATTCTGCAGACTGACACATCCCATCCTGCGAACCAGAGTGTTTTAAGAGAACAAAATGTAAGTCTTGCAAGAACAAGAGCCTGGGGCGGTTCTCTAAACTAGAGCAGTTCTTTTTTTATCTGTCTGTCTTTTCTACTTTTTGAACTCACTTCTCTCCGCTGCCACATCCTGCATTTTAAAACTGACTTCACTGTTGCAGCCCGACTTATCTCAACTAAAGGCAACAGTGTTAAAACACTGATAAGCAGCAGCCAGCAGGGAGCGAGGAGCAGTGTTGGCGGTCAGTGGACATGCATGAAGTCCAGCTTCATTCTGCAGCCACTGAAATGTGAAAGACTGGGAAGTGAACAGAGGATGGAAGTGTTTGAGTGCTTCATTTTAGAGGGCACTGAAAAAGATTTAGCCACTTTAAATGTCACAAATACTAAAAATGAAAGTCTTATTGTGAATGTCAGTGCAGAGTTTCTGGAGCTTAGCAGGTTTCTGTCTGTAACTTTATAGTTCATCAATTTTAATTTGATTATTGATAACCAGAGAGAAAATCTAATGTTTAGAGAAAAATGCCAGGATAGTGTGTCATCGTGCAGGATCTGTGACGTCAGCAGCACAGGAAGCTGTTGCCAGGGCACTTCCTGCTGCGTGGCGGAGGCACACATGTCACAACCAGGAGAAGTCGCCAGAAGTCACTCTCTCCATGAAGGGCCGTGTGTGTGTGTGTGTGTGTGTGTGTGTGTGTGTGTGTGTGTGTTGGGATTGGCTTTGATTGAATCATGTGATCAAAATCTTAAACACTGTTTTATGTTCAAACATGAAAGCAAACATCAGGTTTAAATGTTTGTGAACAAACATAACTATAGTTAAATTCATCTTTGGAACTATGAATGTTGACTAATATTTCACTTTCTTAATTCCAGCCTGAAGGTTTTTCATCATTTATTTATTGCATTATGTTTCATAGCAGGCACGTTCAGATAGCAGAGCTGAGTGTCTTCTAAATGGAAAAAGGTCCAATTGAAAGTTGGCACACTTTTTTTTCCCAACTAAGGAGAAATGGCAGGAAATTTCTGCTCAATAGAACTTATGTTGTTAATCAGACTAATAATTTAGATGCAAGGGGAGAAAACGTATGCAAGTCAGATAAATATCACATATACAATACTTAGACATTCTGGGAAAAGTAAAAACAGTGTAATTACTTAGTATTAAATTGGTTTAAACCTCATGCAGCGCCATAGAATGAATTAGAGTTTGTCAAGGTACAGTAAGATTTTAAATAGTTAATAAAATTGTTTCTGAAATAAAACATGTATTACGTCCTGAATATGAAAATCCATGAAGCAGCCTGCTGTATATTCCCAGCAGGTGGTTGTTACGTTACAATATAAGCAAAAAGTGCAACGCTTATATGAGCAGCATCCCTGCAAAGTTATTTTATTTTAAAAGAGGAAAGCTAGTTTCCACATGCAAATTTTCCAGATAAATATATCCCTTCAAATGCCTTATATTAGCATTCGTAGGATCTACCGAATATCATTTTCAACTGGGGATATTTATACTTTTCTTTTTTTTTTTTTACCAAACAGAAATGTCATACAATTTGTTCATTTCAAGTCTATCCAACTCTAACATTTGCATTCCCATCGAGCCAGCATCTCTGGCGGAGAATTAAATTTCCATTTTCTGTAAATGATTCCTTGCATCCTTTGATTCCTCGGACGGCGCTTTGCACTCTGACAAGACAGTCGTGACTTGGGGCTTTGAGCTGCAGCGGTGCCTGCGGTAATGCCCCAGGCTCATTTGGACCGAGCCATCTGTCTGCCCTCCACTAATTGAGCTGTCCGGGTCTGAGGAGTTAAAGGTACTTTGTGGTTCCATGTGCAAGGGAGCATGAAGGAATCACTAAGAAAAACAAAACCAGACATCCTCGTAGACACTACCAGACAGCCCAGCGCCTGTCAGTGAGGGAACAGACTGATTGAGGCTGTAGCACTGACAGATCTGCAGCAGGAGGAGTGGATTTCTCAGGTTGTACAAATCTGCATGAAATCTCTGCACCAAACGTAAATGTTCGCCTCATCCATCTCTGTCCACAGCGGGTTCACCGGGCAGAACCAGCTCCCACTAAATACGCTGATAACTGAGTGTCCTCTAGGCGAACACAGAAAGAGCAACCATTTTAAGGAAAATATATGAGCTCTGGGCTGATTTAATGAAATGAAAAATGAAGAATAGCTGCCAAAGAAATTTAATTATTTTAATTCCCAGTTTGCTTTTATTAGTGGAGTAAGTTAAGTTCTTCTGGATTAAAGAAGATGCACTGTCCATGAAAGGTGTATTTATTCCGTCATTTCCTTCGATGTTTGAGGAAACAGTGACAGAAAAACAACGGTGCAGTCAGAGGCTGGATTTAGCCGTGTCGTCTGAAACTGTGAGACGCTAATTCATCACAAGACAGCTAAACCCGTCAAGGACAACAGGGAGTCGGGAAGAATACTATCACAGGCTGCCAAGCAGTCTCGGGACACCTGACCTCTCCACCGCCTGAGCTGCGAGGGCTAGGTGTTTGGGGTAGACAGGGTTCTCCCCGGGGAGGGAACGGGTCAGGAGGGGCTACTCTAGAGATTTAACACCAGGACTAAAACTCCACTTTCTAAGGCAAAACAAAGTTTGGTTTGAATTTTTATTTCACTGATTATATAATGACATATCTAGTGGAATTGTGACTGTTCAAACTGTAGGAGGAGAATTACTGAAAATATAGCGAAGAGAAGGGAAATCACATTTTAGGTCTGATCTCTACTTCTGATCAGAGCGACAGCAATTCATCTTCCAAGATGAAAACATTTTCACAAACGACAGATAAAACATGCGCTGATCATCTGTCTTTGTTCAGGCTGGTGTTTGCAGGTTTACCTCAAGTTTATTTGTACAGTAGATTTCAGTAACAAGACAATTCACAGTGCTTTATATCATAGAAGTATAAAAATCGAAATAATCAAATATAATCAAATATGTTCATCAATGTTCCAGTTATTACTAATCAAAAGCAACTCTAACATGCGGCTTTTGAGCAGTGATTTAAATGAACTCAGTGATTCAGCTGCCGTTTTCTGGAAGTTTGTTCCAGATTTGTGGTGAATAAAAGCTGAATGCTGCTTCCCTATGTTTGGTTCTGCTTCTGATGATGCAGAGCAGACCAGAACCAGAACCAGAAGACCTGATTGTTCTGGAAGGTGGATACAACAACAGCAGATCTTTAGTGTATTTTAAGCCATTCAGTGATTAAATAGCAAGAGAAAGTTTACCTGCTACCAAAACAGGTAGCAGGTGGATGGGTTTCATCCATTTGTTGCACCCAGACAATGTGTGATCTTCTGGGTTTGACCTTCTTAAGAAATTTGGTCATTTGGACTCCACAAGATTTTTTACATTGTGCACAGATCCCACATACACTTTTACAATTTTTTTTTTTAGTTTCAGGAATTGACGGTCTGACAGAACAACCCCTTTTCCTGCTGCTCATTTACACAATTACATGTCGGCTTCCCTACCAACATATGTAACCGCGAGAGGGTTAAAGAATGTTGTCTTCAAAACAGTCCTCCAGATTTTATTCTACAGTCAGTGTATAAAATAACACTGTATTTATTTGAACAGGACCAACAAGTTAAGTGAAGAAAATGACGCCATGTTTCTCTCCTTTACTACAGGGTGAAGGTTCCAACTTCCTCCAGCTGGGTTCCTCCATTGAGCAGCAGATTAACGGCATGTTCAAGGTGATGGAGGAGTACAACTGGGACAGCTTTGTGGTTATAACCAGCCTGTACCCGGGTTACGAAGCCTATGTGGATTATGTCAAGTCCTTCACAGACACCAGCTACTTCATGTGGGACCTGCAGGACGTGTTATCCTTCGACATGTCAGCTGACAGCACCAACGACATACGAGCACGGAGGCTGCTGCAGCAGATTGACGCCCAGGTCCTGTTGGTCTACTGCTCCCACGAAGAGGCACAGTACCTTTTTTCATTAGCAACCGAGGTTGGGCTAATAGGACCGGGCTACATCTGGATTATCCCCAGCATGGCCGTGGGAAACCCAGACATCCCGCCACCTGACAGCTTCCCTGTGGGGTTGATCAGCATCATCACAGACCGCTGGAGGATGAGTCTGAGGAAGAGGGTGCGGGATGGGGTAGCTATTGTAGTTAAAGGTGTCCAGAGCTTCAGGAAGCAGAGAGGCTTCATTCCTGAGGGCCACAGCGACTGTCACAACCCCGTCAAACAATCTGCCATCAACGATACGCTGTTCAGGTAAGACATTGTCTTAAACGGGGGGATTTATCATATCTATCACTTATTGTGAAAATTTCTTTTCAAGATAAAAAGTTTGGGTTTATTATTGCCACATTAAATTTCAGTTAATGTTAAAAAAAAACTGCCTAAAATATTATTTTTATTGTATTCTCTAATTTTTTCCATGAAAGCATAAAAAGTATAATTAAATTAAAAATATCTGATCAAATAAAGTATCTGTGCATTCTCTCACAGCTATGTTTGATGAATGTGATGAACTTATTTTAAATGCATGTAAAACTGTAAATCAGCTAATCTATAGAAGACTTCACATTACATTTGAAGTAAAGAGTTCACCCTGGCTGAACTCAAACCGCTTCTGAAACCAGGACTTTGAGTTTTTTAACTTTGGTTTGTTGTCTAGCAGAGGTTTCCACAAGTTTCATTATTTAAGGTAATTTAATTATTTAAGGTAATTATATTAATCACTAAATAACATCTAATGTCATTTTGACACTGACTAGTGCTTTCCTGACTTCAGTGTCTTCTCACTAGTAGGAGTCTGCAACTTATATAACCCACAGAGGGATTTTGCTCTCAGGCCAAATGTTTTTGTTTTTTGGTAAGAAACGTACTCCTCCATGGCCACGTTGTTTTCTCTGATCTACGTCGGCCTGAAGCTGCAGATGTAAAGATTCTGAAGAGGACAGTGATATGTCTGTCAGTAATGAACCTGAAGGTTTCTGTACTTCTGTCTTCATTGTCTTTTTTGAGTAGTGCTTTAGGGCAACTTCCTACAGTTTCAACTATAATGTAGCATAAGGTATTGGTAATAAAGGCAGCATGAAATCCCTTTTTTATTTTTTTAATCTAAGTAAAATTCTGATCTCCGATGTTTAAAGTGCAGAGTAGAAATATTTAAATATCTGAGGTCACTACAATACCAACTACTTAATAAACATTTGTAGCAAGCTAGTACCTTGTTGTTTCAAAAACACTCTGCTTTTGACTAACAACTAATAACTGGGTATTAACTCAGTTTCATTTACAACTGGCAAATTTTTATTTTATTTTATTTTTTTTTTTGTTTACAAAAGCATAACATGATCACACTCACGCTAGATTCACTTTGCAGGGCAGTGTAAATATTCAGTCTGCTGGACGGAGCCTCCCTGCAGCAGATGATCACACTTCCAATGAGTTAAAGTGCTACAGACGCCAAATACCACAGCAAGTGTTGGGAGCACAGATAAGAAACAAAGCTAATACCGTCATTGTAATATACATAGTGATCCGCGCCATCTTGGTAGGCAAGCACAGCGCAAAGCATAACTGAATCATGAATCATAAAGCGGCAGGAGTTGTCTGCATGGGGCTGAAGTGATTCACTGCCATTACAAGAAACAAACAAGTAAAAAGTGGTCAACAGTCCTGTATTGATTTAGGATTTCCAGTCTGTTTGTTGTGGTGAAGCATATTTCATGGTGTCCTCTGCGCTGCTGTCATCCATCTCTTCATCCCTAATCACTGCATGTCTGTTGGAGACTGTGAGGTAATTTAGTCAGAGGGAGGGGTAGTGAAAGTGGATAGAGGTGTGGCTTTCCATCAGTAAAGCCATGCCCAAAAGAGCAATATGACGCCATCTGTGCCGTGGAGCACAGAGAATAAATCCTATTTTGCTGGAAAAAATGTTTTAATCAGCAAAGAGAATAGTTGGAAAAAACAGTCCGAGCAGCAGCTTTTGACTCATATAAGCTCAGGTTAGTCAGAGAGAATAGACGGTGCTGTCTATTCATGTTATAGACCTGTTATAGGTGATCATCAAGGGCCATTTATCGATCATAATCAGAGGCTCATGTCTCATTACGGAGGATCACTCTCTCCCTGTGACGTCAAAAGCAATTTTCACTTCAGTCAACAGTCTTTGGAGATAAAACTTGAACCGCTTATAAAAAACTGAACATAATCACTATCTTTGATACAGTACAGACCATATCGTTCACCCATTTAGACCCAGCAGGCACGTGTTCAGAAACATGAGTAAGTTGGGTCAGCGAAACAGAACAAAGCGCTTTCAATTAGCTTTATCGTCAGATCTCGTCTCATTGCAGTCGGATCAAACGTCAGCAGCATCCTCTGTTGTTGAATTTCTGCTCTCTGGATGAGAGAATCTTTTGATAATGAGTCGGCTCACCTGTTAATAAGATTATCGCACACTGCCAGATTAAACACGCTTTTCACACACACACCGGGCTGTGGGCTGTTCTCCTCCCACTGGGCTTTCATCACCTCTGCTGGAGTGGTGTGTGAGGTGAGAGCCCTGTGCCACACGTCTATCGCAACAGAAGATGTGAGTGATGTAACAAGAGGATCAGAAGCAGCTGCTAAATCAATCAGGGAACTGAGATGAGTTTTCTACACAGAAATGGGTAAAGAGTCCCAAATGAACTCCAAAACTGAGGAGAAAACTTGTAGATAAAGAAGCAGTTGATAATTTTTACTAGTCTGACACCCGTTTGGTTCGCAGTAAATCCAAAACTAATAAATTATAATCTTGCCCCAGGACATAAAGGCTACTAGACAAAATTTTAAAACTAAAAATTAATGAAAACTAATAGATAGATAGATAGATAGATAGATAGATAGATAG